GCTGGATTTTTCAGCAGGGTATGCCGGCCACTTTAGGCTCACAGCCACATTAGCCAGTGCTTACTGTGCCATATCTTTGCAAAAATTGGCCCAGATACATTTTAGGATAACTTGGCCACATTTGTGGCATCGTATGCGGGCCACTTTAGGCTCACAGCCACATTAGGCAGTGATTACTGTACCATATCTTTGCCAAAACTGGCCCAGATACATTTTACCGCAGCTTTCTCGCCTCCGCTCTATTGCTATGAGTCATCAGGATTGTAGTGCGTTCTCATTGGTTTACTGGTCTGCGGCTGATTTAATGCGCAAGGTAAGCTGTCCGTGAAGCGCTCGCCCAAGCGGAAAAATGTCAGATCTCGAAAATCACATTGTGTTTTAAGCAAAACCAACTCGTTTAAATTAAAAGGAAAAAACACTGTAACTGTATATTTTTGTTTTCTCAAGCAAAGCAAAAAATTGGCCCAGATACATTTTAGGATAACTTGGCCACATTTGTGGCATCGTATGCGGGCCACTTTAGGCTCACAGCCACATTAGGCAGTGATTACTGTACCATATCTTTGCCAAAACTGGCCCAGATACATTTTAAGATAACTGGGCCACATTTGTGGCATCATTTTCGGGCCACTTTAGGCTCACAGCCACATTAGCCAGTGCTTACTGTGCCATTTTTTTTTTTTACCAAAACTGGCCCAGAAATGTTTTAATATACCTGGGCCACATTTGCTGAAACATCTGTGGACCACATTTGGTTTACACCCTGATTAGCCTTCGTCGATTGTGCCACATTTTTGCCAAAGGTGGCCCACATTTGGTTAGCACTATGTGGGCCATATTCACTGTTTACTACATGGGCCACTTTAGTACATTTTTGGTCATAGACAACGTATGTTGAAGATATACGTTATTGCAACATTATTTTTTTGTAAAAACGTGGGCTAATATAAAATTTTAATAATAACAAACATCATATTGTTCCCTTTGTTTTGCGTATGCTCGTGTCGCTTACAGTTAAAGTCCTTCTCTGATTTTATTATTGTCTGCAAGGTTGCAACGTTATTTGGGGTGGGGGGGTCTTATCGCTCAGCATACCCGGTTAAAATAGTCACCACTCGCCACTGCTGTTTACCACATGGGCCACTTTAGGGTCACATTAAGATTACACACTGCCGTCAACACCGCATCTTTGCCTACAGAGACCCACATGTGATTTGATACATTTGGCCCATTTTTGCTGTTTTACATATGGGCCACTTCAGGCTTACATCCATTTTGTCCAGGCCATAAGAAGGCCAGCAGTGCCGTATCACTGTCTTAAGTGGCCCACATCCACATGCTATCTGGGTTTCCTCCTGATGCTGGGATCTATCTGAAGTCTGTACAGAGATGCAAATGAGCAGATGTATACTGTATATACAGTATATGCAAATATAAAAAAAAACCTTGCTACGTGCACTGCATTGGGCTAACCGAGACTTGTCATCGCACTTGCATTTTATTGCTCTTTTGTTGGTTTTGATTGCTTGTATTGTCCTCATTTGTAAGTCGTTTTGGATAAAAGCGTCTGCTAAATGACTAAATGTAAATGTATACTATATCCAGTGTAGACAGCATCAGTGATTATTATGGGCTCTGTCAATCATATGCAAATGTATTTGCCTCTGTGATGTCACAGATCCCCCAATATCAAAACAACAAAATATTTTTGGAGCTTGGTTAAAAAAATTATTTGTTTATTTTGATTTGTTTTTAGCTTTATTTTTTGTTTTTCATTTAAATGTTACGTTTTGAATTTTTTTTGTATGCATTTGACATTTTTATTTAATTTCTTTCTTTTTAAAATGTGTATAAGTAGTATTTATAAAGTTTTAGCTTTTAGTTTTGGATCTGTTTTTAGTTGTTTTATTACTACAATTGATTGCTTCTGTTGTCCTCATTTGTAAGTCGCTTTGGATAAAAGCGTCTGCTAAATGACTAAATAAATAAAAAATAAATAAATAATGAGGACGTGTTAGGAAACTTGCAGGATGGTTTAATGGTACAAAGACCTCTTAGTAAGTCGTTTTGGATAAAAGCGTCTGCTAAATGACTAAATGTAAATGTATACTATATCCAGTGTAGACAGCATCAGTGATTATTATGGGCTCTGTCAATCATATGCAAATGTATTTGCCTCTGTGATGTCACAGATCCCCCAATATCAAAACAACAAAATATTTTTGGAGCTTGGTTAAAAAAATTATTTGTTTATTTTGATTTGTTTTTAGCTTTATTTTTTGTTTTTCATTTAAATGTTACGTTTTGAATTTTTTTTGTATGCATTTGACATTTTTATTTAATTTCTTTCTTTTTAAAATGTGTATAAGTAGTATTTATAAAGTTTTAGCTTTTAGTTTTGGATCTGTTTTTAGTTGTTTTATTACTACAATTGATTGCTTCTGTTGTCCTCATTTGTAAGTCGCTTTGGATAAAAGCGTCTGCTAAATGACTAAATAAATAAAAAATAAATAAATAATGAGGACGTGTTAGGAAACTTGCAGGATGGTTTAATGGTACAAAGACCTCTTATGTGTTAAAAAAAATCAAGGATTGATTTCAAATGCCATGACCCCTTTAAGCCCAGAGTTGGGAGCATGTCAATAAGAAAATGGTAACACATTTTAAGGACCAATTCTCACTATTAACTAGTTGCTTATTAGCATGCGTATTACTAGCACATTGGCTGTTTATTATTACTTATAAAGGACATATCAATGCCTTATTCTGCATGAGCATATTTTAGATCCTATTGTAAAATTAAGACAGAATGTATAACAATTCATTTACAGCACCTTCATAAATTGAATAAAAACACATCATTCCAATTATTTGTTCATCATAGAAGCAGAGTTTAAAAATATTGCTGGCTTGTACATCACCATCTTGCTTTGACTTAAACGCACTTGATGTCGAACGCACCATACTATTTGAAATAACTAGTAACAGTGTTTTTTGGATACTTTTTCACTCAAGATTATAACTTTTAATTGAGTAATTATTTTAACTTGAGTAATGTTTTTAGATACTACCACCTCTGAGTACATTCATTCAATCCCATAATGCACCGTAATAATGCTCAACAGTTGGAGAATATTCATGTCCTTTGCGAACAGCATGAAAAATCAATCTGGAAATTTTAAGGTTACCTGGTTCAATATATAAAAGAGCCTATGAATTCTGGGAAGAAAAGGAGAGCAGAATTTTGGCAGTAAATGACTGTGCATGATACAAATCAAATCACAGCGTTAGCTTTTTTAATATAGTTATTTAACAGCAAGCGCAAACTATGCAAAAACACTCCATGTCCAAAATCGCTGGCTCATTTTCATTTACCACTTTTATGGAGAGAATATGGCCTAAGTGATGGTTAATTAAGTTAAGGAAAATGTAATCTGATTACTCCTTTTAAAAGTACTTTACTTTTCTGATTACTTTATTTCAAAAGTAATTAGTAATTAGTTACATTACAAGTTACGTTACTTTTTTTATCCATGAAATTTATGAAATCCCAGCATACACGCTCCCGATAAATATTTGTTATTAAAGCATCAACATTCACAGAACACTGTTATTTTTAACTAAAGCAAGCGGCTGCTGCGTGCATGGTTTGGCATGACAGAATGCCAGCAAAGAGCGCTGCGGTTTATAATCTCTAAAAGACATCTCAGTTCATGCAATCTCACAAATCTCTGTTATAACACAATAAATATATGCATAATGAATCTTTCATAATGTCTACAATTCGTGTGTTATAGTGAGAGGATTCGTGAGCACGCACATTTCAGCACTGCATTGCTCAATGCTGCAAACACATGTTATAGCCAAATAGAAACTCTGCTTGCACCTGTTAATCGTTTATATTATTTCATGTTGCTTTTGTGCAATAGATGAATAACAATTTATTTGTTTTAGATATTTTATGTTTAGATATTTCTATTTTGCGGGAGTCCCGTGAATCATTTTATTCTCCCGCATCCCGCACACACACGAGTGTCTACCCGCCCGCACCAGCACTCGCCCATCTTGTCCCGCGCCGCGCTCTGTTGCGTCGAGTCTTGCGGGAGCATGTCTCTAATCTACTGACAGTGCGTGTACTACATCCTTTTTTACAATCTCTAGATCAGTGTTTCCCAACCGGGGTGCCGTCTGTCGAGAGCAGGCGTGCCGTGTAAAAAATTGTTTTAATATTTTTAAATTGCTAAAATGTTCAAAAAAGCATATATTATATAATATCCATTTCTGATGTCGCCAATAATTAGAGATGCACCGAAATTTCGGCTGCCGAAAATTAGTTCACCGCTCAGGTTTCACTTTCCCGTGGTGTGACGCTCTGCGTATTATCCCGCTCTATGCGTGTGCGCTCCGCGCAGTCGCTCCACTCATATACCGTTCATGCTCATCGGAACAGCAAAGTCCACTCAAAAAATGAGCCGACAGGAAACATCGTCTAATTACTATTTTAAAAATTATAACGCGTTAAATTACTCCGTTACTAAAAAAGTAATCAAATTACAGTAACGCGTTACTAAGTAATGCGTTACGGCCCAACACTGTTAAGGAGCGTTTTCGGACAGAGCCTTTGCGTATTTTTTGTCCAATAAGCATTGAGGATTCTCTCTCTTTTTTGCATGTATTTGCATACTGAATTGTGATTAGTCCTTTCTTTCTGGCATCTGTTTCACTATCTACTCTTACATTGAACATAATAGAGAAATCATGAGAGAAATCATGCGCTCAGCGTCACGACACCCACATGACTTGGCAGCTGTGGTGTAGGCTTTAATTTACAGTATATAGAACGTTTAAAACATATAGGCTACTTACCCTTAACTGTAGTTTACAAATCCATTTGAAGCCTACGTGCCCTGTAAGCATTTTCTTGAGGAACTGCATAGCTATTCCCTGCACGCAGCTCGCACGGACTCGCCCAAAAGTGAAAGTGAAAGAGAACGTGACGTTTCAACTAAAACGCGTACAAATGTGGCACCTCTCTGCTAGTCGCTGTTATTTCACATACATTCATGAGGACTTACCCTTCGGCGTTCCCTCTGAATTCTCCGTGACAAGTGGACATGCATATGCTCGTTAAATTGATTTTCATAACGGCGGCATATATGCATAATATTGCCAGAGCAAGCGGTAAGTTTGGATCAACATTACGTAAAAATACAGATTTACATGTTGAGCAAACCTGAACAGCGTTATTGCATATTGCATATATTATGTTGAGGTTCCGCGTTACTAGCCTACTTAACTGTGGATTCTGCTATTAATAAATTGAATAGCTTGGCTAAAGCACGTTCTCCACGAGGGCCTTCAAGTAAAAAATTAATAAATAAATAAACCGAAACCACGTCTTGGAAAAAGAAACTAGTAAAGGAACTTTAGCTTGAATATGGAATATGAAATAGCCTAGTGAAACCCCGTTCATGTGACAGTCCCTAGATTATGGAAATAATAATTATATTTTTTTGCAGCTTGCTTATATATTTATTTCTTTGTCTATTTATTTATTTGTTTGTCTTTGTTTGTTTAAATACCGAGCTTTTCCATTTTTTTATGCTTGTAGAAAAATGGACAATGCTGTTGGTGTAAATGCAGGAATTGAACATTGCTGAATTTTGAGCCATTAAAACAATCAGCAATTGTTTTCATTTGAATTTATTACTAAAAAAATCGATTTAAACAAGCACTGGAGGAAAGATAAAGGAAGTGGTGAAATACAACATTTTATTTATTTATTTATTTATTTATTTATTTATTTATTTTTGTCCAAATAAAGGTATGCATTTACACAATGGCAATCCATGATCAGCTTTCCATGATCAGCAAAGAAACCTTATGTACTGATACCTGAACTGATTGTTCAGAAATTAGAAGTTTAAATTGTTACATTACAATATTTGTTCTAGATATTAAATTAAGGGAATCGTTACCACAAAAAAATTACATTTCTGCTATTATTTACTCTCCTTCATAGTTTGAAACCCATGTGCTATTACGAACACAAAAGGATCATTTTGAAGAATCTTCATGCAGTTCTTTTTAATACAACAGAAGTTTATAGTGACCAGTCGGTAAAGCTCCTAAAAGCACCATAAACGTAGCCCATGACTTTTTTTCTGAAACCATACAGTGTCTTTGTGTGGTAAACAGTTACATTTAAGACGTTAACAACTAATCTTTCCCTCTAACTATGATTTATTAAGTATGATTCATTTTAAGTAAACCATTCTGCTAATAGAGTTTTTTAAACTGGTTCTTTTTACGCTGTGGTTAATTATCTTGATTAAGGGAAAAATGGTGATGTGTAAATAATAAAAATAGAATGCGTTGGTGCATGGTTTCAGTTTCAGTTACTTTCCCTAAACCAGTAAAACTGAGTCATAATTGAATAGACAGCCTACAAATTATTAATATAGCAACAGTGAACATAATAGTTATTGTTTGTTCTATGCTATTGAAGTTAAAGACTCTTCAGAACAGCCTTTTTTTGGGGTTTAGACACAACATTTTCAGAAATGCACACAAAGGAGGATGTGGCATTTTTGATCTGCTACAGAAAGTTGTGTCATCAAAAATGACATCATGCAGTTAAGATGTGTGATTTTTAGTGAATAAGAACCTACATTTTGCTCAGCTAAAGTGGAATATATATACTGTTGAATAAAGAGTGAAAAGGTCAATACATAAGTCAGTTTATTAATACCATCTTGTATTTGTATCATACATTGGATGTAATAAATGATGTATATTTCTAGGAGTGGTTGAAGATGACTTCTACAGATTGCAAAAGCACTTCTTTACTGCACAAATGCTCCCCCACATGTTTTCTTCCAAAGAATAATCATGTTATCCAAATTTAGCTAATTTCCAATTCAGTGAGATTATTCACACTTAAGTCACTGAACATCAGCGAAGCTGGTGAAATAAGCACTATATATAGGTGATTTGTGTTTCAGGGCTGTTTTTTATAATATGTAGGTGTCAGATAAATGATTGTAAATAGTGTGTCCCACTGTTTCCTCATTCCATTAGAGGGGGACTGCCGAACCCCTCCAAACTGTAACTTTAACCTCTCCTTTTTTACAGCTATGTGTACTGTCTTGTCCAACAATGTACTGAAGATTTTTACACCACAAATGTAGTCAAGGATTTTTGTACCAGAATTATTTTATTATATTATTTTAATCTGACCCTTTGACTTTTTTTTTTTTTACGCGTGATTTGATGATTTTAAACAAACAGAATGTTAAGTTTGTTGTATTCATGTTAGTCTCATATGGTTTTGAAAAGCTTTTTATACCATCTTCAAGAAAAGTTTCGATTTTTAATTGAATAAATATGAATACGCCATGCCTTTTAACCATATAGTAAAATATAATAACATATTTTCCTTGTGACCAGGAGAAGCAAAGATGCTAATAATATGACAAATGAACCCCAGGTAATTTTTTCAGATGTACTTGGGTTTGTTTTTCTGGTGTGTATCAGCTTTCACACCAGCTAAAGTAAACTCTGACAACAAACTGACTGCCCCAAAAAAAGTCCCTTTACAATGCATGTGAAATGAGAGCATAACAACACTTACCTAATGTGCTGTGGCAATGATGTCTGGTCTGGCATTACATTGTGACAAGGTCACCATAGAATCTGTGGTAATAATCAGACTAACGATCATGGATCGTTTCAAACTTTGAGATCCTTCAGAAGTATATGCAGAGCTGTAGGTGCTACACAAACCCAAAATCAGGATAGTGTGTCACTGTTGGTGTGCCAAGTTTCTGATCACCTAATAGGTGTCATTTATATTTATATCCATCCTGATGCCAGACAGCTGAATTGTATTACAAAAAGTAAAATACAATATAATACAATATTATTTCTTAATAAGTCAAACAAAACATATTGTTTTTAACACATTTCCCAAGTTTTCCGTTTACAGGTCGATTGTGCATTTTGACATGCAAATACTGTGTTTCCCATTCATTGATTTATTTGTGACGGCCCACCACAATATCAACACTGACTGCCGCAAACAGGTTTTCCAAAAGGCTTTGACTTTGTTGAGTAAACTGCACTATTTAAAGTCAAAACGCAGCGCAGGTGTTTTTATATGAATGTATCTTTGAAGGGAACTGACTATCTTCAGAAAAGTTTAGATGTCATTTTCATTGTATCTCTCCTATTATGCTTGATAAATTAGCTTTCATAAGCGCAGTGCTGCTTTGTGTACAGCCGTTACCATGGAAACCGCTGTATTTCTGCAACAGTATATATATTTCCTCCAGGGGTAGTGCTGCCACACATGAAGTCTGTGGGAACACTGCAAATGTGTTGGTGAATTTGATTGTGTCCATGAATTTCATATGTGATATTTTAGTGACAGTTCTCTTACTTTGTCTCAGGTGTCTGTGGAAAACCAGAACTGGCAGAAAACACAGTACCTGTGTCAGACTTATTACATAACATTGGTGCCAGTATTCGCATTCAGTGTGCAAAGGGCTACGTAAGGAAAGCAGGAACATCCAGCCTGATCCGATGCACTCAACAACAAAATCACAATGCATCCTGGCACTCTGAACTTCCTCTCAAGTGTATACGTAAGTCTTGTTTGTTGCAAAGATACCTGACCCCTGGACATGGCATGTCTGCCCCTTTGTTTTTTACCTTAGCAAAATTGTGGCCAATATTTAAATAAAATGAGAAAATAAATTCATAAATCACAGGAACAAATTCTTATTTGGTGGGCAAGGATTCTACGTTTTTTTGTTTCCCAAACTAAATGCCGTCATCATCATAGTATATAATGAGCTGTCATCCTACAGCAAGACATGTTGCAGCAAGTTTGAAAAAGTCATAGAGGTTTGGAAAAACATAAATGATGACATAATTTCCACATTAATCTTCATTAAGCTAAAGCTGTTTAGATATATATGTGTTCTAACCCTTAGGGAGGAATTCACTAAACAGTAAAACACTATGTTTGTACATGGTACCTCAGCGTAATACCTGAGTCTTATTCACTAACCATCACAATCCAGTTTACTGAGTCAATTAACATTCCAAACATGCCTCCTTTAGGCTCAATACAGACTGTGCTTTACTTACAAAAAAATGCCTATAACAATTTGTTCTGCACTATTGCCACCAATTAATGATTGAGGGCACTTTCTAGCAACCACGGCTATGGTAATTAGAAATGAAAATCACTGAAAATAACTATGCATTGGCAACAGCTCACAACAACCTTAGTAAACATGACATGATTCTGAAATGTAGAAGTTGGTTTAGTCATCTTAAAGGGATAGTTCACCCAAAAATGAAAATTTGATGTTTATCTGCTTACCCCCAGGGCATCCAAGATGTAGGTGACTTTGTTTCTTCAGTAGAACACATATGATGATTTTTAACTTTAACCGTTGCAGTCTATCAGTCGTATAATGCATGGCAATGGTAACAAAATCTATGAGAGTAAAAAAAAACATGCACAGACAAATCCAAATTAAACACTGCGGCTCGTGACGATACATTGATGTCCTAAGACACGAAACAATCGGTTTGTGCCAGAAACCGAACAGTATTTATATCATATTTTACCTCTAATACACCACTATGTCCAACTATCTTTGGGCGCGCGCACGGCATCCGGTGCGTGAGGTGTGTACGCACTCTGGCGTAGTTTACGTTAATGGGTGTGTTG